AGAGGGGGGGGAGGGGGGGAAAGACGAACCACACACGAGTGAAGCTGCTGCCAGGGCAAGAGTGTACCAGACGTAGAACTGAAGAGTGGGAGGAGTGGGAGGAGTGGGGGGGGGGAGGGTTCCACCGGGCGAGGTGGGGGGAATGAGGCTGGGGATCAGGAATCAAGGCTGAGTGAGTGCGTGAGGGTCAGTGAATTAGCAAGTTAATGTGTTAGTGTGAAGGTTGTGGCGCTACTGCCGTGCATGTGCTGAACACAGTGCGCTGTCTACACGGACGGCATACCGTACACACCGCAAATACCATAAAAAAGAAACTGCACGTTTTCAAAACCATGATTCGATAACCGCGTTTTTATTTTAGGCGACGTACTCGAGTGAGCTCCAGCCGCTGGGCGCGCTGGGGACGGTGACGGGCCCCAATTCCGCGACCTCCGGCGAGCGGGAGAAGGTTCCGGACGGCGGTATGCCCCCTCCGCCGCCGCCGCCGCCGCGGGAGCGGGAGAGGGAGCGGGACCTCTCGCAGATTCTGGTGGGTGGTTGATGGTGTTGGTTGAGGTGGTTGTGGGGGTTAGGATGGTTCGATAAGTGGGCGGTAGGACAATATCTGCTGTTTTGCCGGTGGTAGTGGTATTGCTGTTGATAAGTCGTTTTTTTCACCGTACTGGTGCCGTACGGGTGTTGTACGACATCACGTGCAGGAGTGGCGGCTGTACATCATTCAGGAGTATGCTGACGGCGGGCCGCTGAGGAAGTTGTACGGCAATAAGGCCCTGTGGCCGTCGCCTGGCGTGGTCAACTTGGTGAGAGAGAGAGAGAGAGTATTTGTGGGTTCCGTCGCCATCTGTCTGACTGTCTGTCTGTCTGTCCATCATCAGTTGACGTGAGGGGTATTGCCAAAAAGAGAGCTTGACAACAGGAAGTCATGAATCTCATCTCATCTCTCTTTCCCAACCCCCTCCTTAAGGTTTTAGGGTTTTTTAAAGATAGATTTAAAAACCCTAAATCCCCCTCCCTAGGACTCCCTTGGCAGTTTTGCACTTTGAACGCCGGCAGTACACCCCGGGGTAGCGCCTTCGGGGAAGACGACCAAGGGGTTACCGCAATTCTCATTCCTTGTTCCATTCCTTGCCTTTGATCCCCCTCCCCCTCGACCCCCAAACCCCCCAAACCCCCCAAACCCCCTTCCCCCCCCCCCCCACACACACAGTGTACAGTGAACAGTTCACAAGATAAGTGTTCGCGACTCAACGATACCGCTCACATCCCCCGCTCCTATCCCTGCTCTACAACTCCAATCTGCCCTCGTTTTCCTCGTAGTCGCCCCAGTCTCTAAAATGTATTTCCACATCCCATGTGCCTCATGTGCCTCCTGTGCCTCATGCACATCCCCTACTGCTGCTCGTACTGCTGCTGCTGTTACTGTTGCTCTTACTGCTGCTGCCATTGATTTTGCTACTGCTGCTGCTACTACTGTTGCTGTTACTGCTGTGCTGATGCTTTTCCTTCCCTAGCCTGCGGTGGTTGGTCTAGCACTGGGCATCGCGAGGGCCTTATCTCACCTCCACTCCAAAAGAATCATCCACGGAGGTGAGTGAGGTGGGACGTATAGCGTGTATGTGTGTGTGCAGATTCCACTGGATGCTACTGGTCGTGCTACTGGTCGTGCTGGTGGTGGTGGTGGTGTGGGGGGGGGGCCGCCGCGGATCCGAAAACGTCACCACCGATGTCGGCAAAAGTCGGCAT